AATTAATCAAATCACAAAAGGCATTAGGATTGCAAATCCACCATTGTTAAATGCTTTAATCTTTATAACCAAATTTTCTCTAGGGTGAGTATATATCAACTACCCAATTAATAGCGCCTCTTGAAGTCGTCAATCAATCCTACACTTATGCGAACATATAAATATGCTTCTAGTCACAAAGATGATCACCTATCGCCATGATTAACAAACAATCTACTTGAAAAATAAGAATTAAACAAAAATGAGCAATTAATTAATCAAAGAGCTTATGACATTTTATCAGAGATTATCCTATCATGTTTTCATCACAGAAATGCAAGATAAATATCAGATATATAATCTAAATAATTTAGAATAAAATTTGATACCTACATCTTGAATCTTTTTGACGATCTCGAACAACATCTTCGTCTTTTTTAAAATCATTCAAAGCCTCCAAAAGTTTCTTGAAAATTTTCCCCTAGAATTGTGTATTTCGATATGAATATTCCCTTTATGATTATAAATTGTTTGGTATAGAATCTTCATTTTATTTAGTGAAGGTTTTCTCTTTATACAGTCCTCAGATTTCTTTTGACGTCCGTGCCCAATAAAATACCCAAACAGCCCTCGAATTTGGATTAAAAGTCTGTAATATGATCAACCCAAGTCAAATCCAGTCTTCAAGGTGCTTAGCCGCTAGGGGAAAGCCCCTTGGATAACCCTCTCGACGTCCAGGGGTTGTCCAACAAGCACAACCCTAACTGCTAAGGGCTTCAGGGGGTTGTCCAACAAGCACAGCCCTAGCTGCTATGGGCTCGTAACAAACGTGAAACCACATTTTAAGTAATAGTCCTGCTATAGTTACAATAATTTTGACATTTTTTTTGATAGTGTGTGAGACGGCATACATTTTTGTCATTGATTTCAACAATTTTCAAAACAATCAATAACACATAATTCTATATCTCACACAATGTAAACATTAATATACACTTTGAATGTCCAAATAGCATATTCCTTTAAGTAAGAGTAATAATATTTATCATCACAATGATAAAATATCGGTGATGTAGCAGCAACTCTTTATCCCTTGCATTTTTCTCTCTTTTGAGAGCGCGTCTCCTTCCACTCTCTTTCATAAAAATTGAATTGTCCAATCCCATTGGCCATTACTCCACATAGACTTAATCATCATCGATGTTTCATCATAGCATCATTCTTTAAGTAAGAGTAATGCTTTTTATTATCATGATATAAAACATCGGAGTTGTGACAACCTATCATCCCTCACATTTCTCTCTCAAGAGAGACCTCGACTCCTCCCTCTCTATCTCATAAAATTGAACTGTCCAATTCCATTATCCCCACATAGATTGCCACAATATCGATATTTCATCATCATGATAATAAATAGTATTACTCTTTGGTATTGTGGCAAACCATTTAATAAATAATCTCCATAAAAATATAACATTTTCTAACTTGAAAATTAAAACAATCAAACACATCTAATAAATAATTTTCATAAAAATAAGTTCTAGGCAATTTATTTATTTTCATACAAGTTCCATACTTGCAATAAAATGCAACTTAAATATAAATAGCAATGAAAATTAGCAGCGTTGGTGCTATAACACTGGTCTAAATGGCATCTAAGTGACATTAAATGATAGACACAATTAAATAAATTCCATAACTCCACCTTCAATTGATCCTCTCACATTATGACACTTAAATTGGTGTTTTAGCATAAGTGGTACTAAATAACAATATTTAATTTTAAATACAAAACCCTCACCTGAGTATATGGTAATAGGGTGTAATTACAACATTTCCTTTAATTAGACCATTATTATTAGGATTGTAATTTTCAATAATCTTAAACTGTATAAATCAGTTTTCAAAACAAAACCAAGCTCCTATTTGATAACCATTATTTGAAAAAAAAAAATTCTACATATTTATTTTCAATCACATTCACATAATAAATATTCTATATGTAAACCTAAAATTTTTTCCTACTTTTTAACCATACATTATCCTAAAAATCACTATCCAAAATATTATTTTGACCAAATAATGACTATCAAACAGGGGTTAATTAGCAAAAAAATCCACATCCTTAAAATTCATATCTTGATCTCCTTTCCCCCAATAGATGATGTCCATTAATTAGATTATTGTTAGATGTACAACTTTCTTATGTGGAAATTACACAAAGCCATATTTTAACTATTCAAAAATCCTAAATCAGATGGGAAGTTTGATATTTCAAAATTCATATTGTTTTTAATTATTTAAATAAACTAATTACCAAAAAAACCTTGCCCACTACCCAGACGTAGCCCCAATCCGTTCCCTTTCCCTCGCTTGTCTCTCTCTATCCTTCACTCTTCAGCGACGGCAGTCCCCATCTCCTCACTCTTCCTCACTTGTCTCTCTCTATCCCTCACCTCTCAACTTGAGAGCATTGTCGCCAAACTGAAGACACTCGAAGCCACCGGACTAAAGGCACTAGAATCCATCGTCGCTATGAGTCATGTGAGCGACGAAGCCGTCGCTTCTAAACGACACTTGAGTTTGTTGCCCACATCGACGAATCATGTTAGATATTCGACCGAGTGCAGCGACGAGTCTAGATGGAGATGATGGTTTAAGAGCGTGCCATGCGTGGCGATGGAGATAGATTTATGGTTTGTGGCTTTTTTTGTGATGGGTTTGTGGTGGTTATTGTGGTATTTTTGAGGTGGTTTTGTAGTGGTGGGGGTGGTGGTCACATGTGGTGCATAAGAGACTATGGTTTTTGGAGTTTGGTGTGTGATGGTGGTGCCTCAACACCACTATTTATTGGTCACAGATGCGACGCTTGTAGCGGTAGTGTTGGTTTTACTGTTGATGCTGTAGTGGTGGTGATATCGACGGTGGTGGTAGTGGAAGGCATCGCTGGTGGTTGTTGGCAGTGATGTGGTGCTTTGCAATGATGGGATGCGACTTGGATGCTGTCGATGTTATAATGGTGGTGATGTTGATGGTGGTGGCGATGGGCAACGTCGCTAGTGGTAGGTGTGGGTGTGGGTGTATGTGACGATTTTATTGGTTGACTAAAAGTTGTGACCAATAAATTGGTTAATTTGACACTAGTGTGGTGGTGGTTTTAGCGGTGACAGTGGTAGTAGTGTTGTTGGAGGTAACGTTGAAGTGGTGGTCGTAAGTGTTGGTGATGGTCACAGATTATTTGGTTGATTGTGACTAGTGAATTAGTTAATTTGTGACCAATAATAAACAACATGTAACCAATGAAAAAGATAAATTGTGATCAATAAATAATGTGTTACCTGAAAAATTAATAATTTATGACGTTTAATAAGTTGTAACCTATAATATTTGTGATCTGTGACCTATAAATTTTATAATTTGTGATCGAAAAATAATATATAAAAATAATATATAAAAATAATATATGACCTATAAAATTTTCGATTTGTGGTCGGAAATTAAATTGTGACTAATAATTTGATAAGTTGTGAATAAAAATTAATCCGTGACTAATTTATTTTTTGATTTGTGATCGATGAGCAAACTATGACCTAGAAATTTTTTGAATTGTGATTGTAAAATAATTTGTGAAATAAGATTTCTGATATGTGGTCAAAAAATAATAAGTGTCTAATTAAATTGTAATTAATTAATTAATTAAATCATAAAATATTATAATAAAAATCTGATTTTTGAAGTTTGAAACTTGTTTTCTTAATCTCTTATTTATGAAAATTTCCCCTTTCTTATTGTGTCCAATTGAACCACTCCCTCTGCCGATTAAAGAAGTCCATGAGCTAACTCCAAGCTTCAAGCCCATCACTACTTCATTCTGATTTTCTAAGAAAAAGGGATAAAAGAATTTGTTTTGTCCATACATGATCATATAAGCAATGTCAAACAAAATTCAAGTAAATAAATTTGGATCTCGTTAAGGTCTGGTCTCAAATCTCTTCACTTTGCATTAATGAAAAATGTGTACATTAATTTTTTGAAGAGAAAAACAAATTCCATCCCGCATAAGATGGGACAAAATTTTTATACATATAACAATTTAAGGTTTTAGATTATACGTAGAAATGAAAATATTTGTAAATATTATTTTATGAACATAATACAGAAGTAGAAAGAAAAAAATAAATCCCATTGAGTAATTACTATTGTAATTACTATTGTTGTTGTTGCATAGCAACTAGTGTGTATATATATACGTAGAAATGAAAATATTTGTAAATATTATTTTATGAACATAATACAGAAGTAGAAAGAAAAAAAATAAATCCCATTGAGTAATTACTATTGTTGTTGTTGCATAGCAACTAGTGTGTATATATATACGTAGAAATGAAAATATTTGTAAATATTATTTTACGAACATAATACAGAAGAAGAAAGAAAAAAATAAATCCCATTGAGTAATTACTATTGTAGTTGTTGCATAGCAACTAGAAAGTTTGAGGAGGAAGAAATCTTGTAAACCAATGAAAGCTACCCTTGAACCACAGCCCTAATTTTTCTAACATACAAACAGAATAAGAGGGAAAAAATTATTGTAGGAAGAGGCTGCAGATTGTCTTTCCTTTTCAAACATAGAGCATGTTTGGTTAAGCATAAATTTTTCACTTATAAGTAAATAAGTAAGTTTTGAAGCGATTATCCTATCTATGAGTTAAAGTATAAAATAACTAAGTTACCAATTTTGAAACTAAACTAAGATTACCGTCAAAATATGAAACTTCTCTTACCTAAAAGTAAGAAAAAATAACACGTCATCCATGTTCAGAAACAAAAACTTACTTTCTAATTTTAACTTTTTTGTTTTTTGAGGTTAGCCAAACATGCTCTGACCTCATAACCTACCATATCTCTTTCAAAGGTAAGCAAGTAGTACTACCTTTTTTCTTTTCTTGCTTTTTCTTTTTCTTCAAGTGAGAAGTTCAGGTTGGTAGAGGCTGATTATGTTTGAGTATTTCACAAAGCTAACATTTTCCCTTGCTTTATACGTACTCCTACCAGATTCTTGTACTACTTAATACTATCTTTGTCTGCTAAATACTTTGTATTGTCTCGATTCTCTCCTTGAACCTGATTTGACTTGAGATTATTTAGTTATACTTTAGCAATCATCTGATATTCTTTTTTTTCTTTTTTAAACTTTTAGATTGTGTTTTGAAAAGAATTTATGATATTCTCATGTTTCAAGATTTTTTTTTTTTTGAATTGTTTTAATGTCTTCAGTTAACAGTTTCATGAATCATGCATGAAGTGTAATTCATAGTTTTTATCTAAATAAGAAGCAAAAATCATGCCTTTTGGTTTAGTTTCTGCATGGAACAAGCGCCGAAGAAGTAAATCAGAAGATCATAGCAATCCTTGTAAGTTTCTTCTCTGATTATTTTACCATGTAGATTTTAATCATACTGTACAACTCCTCGACCTCTTATTAGGTCGCCTTAATATTCCTACTAGATGAAGAATTTTACTAGGCTTGATCTTGAGTGTGGACCATTATAACTGTGCGTGTGCTTTGCTTGTTTTCTGATATTATTATTGTTCATGGGGCTTGAAATTGTGGTTCTTACTGCTGGAAAACATCCTGTTCTTTAGGGGTATATAAAACTGCAGAATGTTGGCAAATTGAATATAGGAATCCACCTGCAAAAAGGCACAACGCATCTTCAGTTTTTACACTCAAAGAAATGGAGGAGGCAACGTGTTCTTTCAGTGATGAGAATCTGCTCGGAAAAGGAGGATTTGGTCGAGTTTACAAAGGCATTCTTCGATCTGGAGAGGTGCATTTTAACATTTATTTATTCTTACTCCTTACCAGTTGCTATTAGATCGAACCATCTCATCTAAAATTTTAAATCATTAAAACTCCTAATCAACTGCATTTATCATAACATCACAATTATCTGTTTTGCGTTAAAAGGTAGTAGCAATCAAGAAAATGGACTTACCTGCATTCAAAGAAGCAGAAGGGGAGCGCGAATTTCGTGTGGAAGTTGATATTTTGAGCAGATTGGACCATCCCAATCTAGTAAAGTTAATTGGATATTGTGCAGATGGGAAACACAGGTTTCTGGTTTATGAATATATGCACAAAGGGAACCTACAAGATCCCTTAAATGGTTGGTTCATTAACAAATAATATGCGTTTAATAAGGCAGATTGTACAGTATTTGACAGTATTATATATATATATATATATATATATGTAAGTTTAAAATCATATTGTCTGGTCGTGTCTAGTACTGCGACATACTTGTCTCCTAATTGTCTTTCGACTGAATTTTAGGAATTGGAGAAGTAAAGATGGATTGGCCTTTGAGGCTAAAAGTGGCTCTTGGAGCAGCAACAGGACTTGCGTATCTCCATTCAAGTTCTGCTGTTGGAATTCCTATTGTTCATAGGGATTTCAAATCGACCAATATTCTACTTGATTCCAACTATGAAGCAAAGGTAAACGATTTAACGTTTACAAATTTTGGGCTTGTTGCTTTTAGCATGATCTATAGATAGAAGAGAACTCGTTTAATAAGATTAACGAGAAGAGAACTCGTTTAATAAGATTAACGGAAGCCCCCCGAAAATTGATCTCTGGGAAGGTAGAGTTGTTGCAATGTTCTGATTACTGATTGTTTAAGCAGATATCGGATTTTGGTCTCGCAAAGTTGATGCCAGAAGGCCAGGAGACTTGTGTGACAGCTCAAGTGCTTGGTACTTTTGGCTATTTCGACCCGGAATATACTTTGGTAAGGATCTTTCTGTGGTTAATTCTTCGGATAGGAAGGAATAACTCAATGGCTTGTTTGGTAAATTTGATTAGACAACAATTAAATTCTAAAGGAGAAAAAAGTTAAAATCTTGTTTATTATAGTGTTCATGTCCATCGACTTCTATTACTGTGTACCGAATACGTCTTAAACGGACTGTCCTCTAATTCTATTTCATCAAATGACAGACAGGAAAACTCACATTACAAAGTGATGTCTATGCATTTGGAGTTGTTTTGCTTGAGCTTTTGACTGGAAGGAGAGCAGTGGACCTTGACCAAGGACCAAATGATCAGAACCTAGTTCTACAGGTACAATAAGAGTATTCTTATCCTAGAAAGTTTTAAACTTATATCCAAATCCGATGATGTCAATATGTTTTGTATACAGTAGTGGTCATCGTAGTTTCAATGTTGTTTTTCATAGCAGTTTCAATATTATTTCCATCTCTCGATCCTTCTTCCATTTGATAATTAACGATACGATGATAGTGCAACATAACTATTAGTTTTTCAAACAATCCGGCATGAAGGATTTCAAACAATACGATCATTTTTATTTATTTTTTATTTTTTAAGTTCATTGGCCATTGGGAAACAACTTTTAAACTACCGTGGCTCTTTGGAAAACAATTAACAACTTTCAATATGTTTTATAAGATCAACTGATGCACTTGAATGTTGCAGGTTAGGCACATATTGAATGACAAGAAGAAATTAAGGAAAGTTATTGATCCCGAAATGAGTCGAGGTTCATACACGTTGGAATCAGTAATCATGTTTGCAAATCTAGCATCTCGTTGTGTCCGAATAGAAAGTCGAGAGAGACCCTCAATGATGGATTGCGTGAGAGAACTTCAACTTATTCTCTACACAAATTCTAAAGGATTGGGGATGGCGATGCATACACTCAGAATGATCTGATTTGCAAACTTCTTGCACTACCTTAAACCTCCAAAATGTAAAAATTGTTCAAGCTCGAGAAAAGACTAGGTTCATTCATGGAATTCCGAGATCGATAGAAAGTTTGATTCCAATATGAATTTCTCATTTTCATACAGAGGTTCAAGCTGAAGTAATTTCCTTGGTAATTTAAGGTTACCCCCACAAAATTTTAAGAGACAAACAATAAAATATTTCGACTGAAATATTTTTGTGCTGCAATTTGATTGTGTATTTTAATGTTTTGGCAATAAAAGAATAAAATCTGCAACTTGTTTACATGGTGGGCATGTAGATTAGATATTACTAAATACCAATCTCGGCTCGATTTACATTTTTTTTTTTCAACTCACAGCAAATTTGTTCTTTCTCTCCATCTGGTAATGTGTTTAGTTTCGTAACTGAAGTTCATTAGTTCAAAATGAATCAATTCTCTCAAAGTAGGATTCGAACGTACTGTTAGCCAAAATTGCATAATAATATAATTTTATTAATTACAATAAGAACATAAGCAGGTAATTTTACTAAAATTGCAGAATATAACAATAATTTTATGAACTAAAACTGAATAGAAGCACTTAATTAAATCTGCAACAATATATTAATTGCAAAAAGGAAATGGATTCGCAAACTTAGGCATGTGCATTACATAGTTTCCTTAAAACAGATTTGCATTATCACCATAAGTGTTGAAACTTCATATGAGCGTATATATCCCAAGATATAAAGAAAAACCAGTAGAGTCTAATCACTTCAGTTTCTACTCCGATGATATGAATTTATATCAGGACAGTACCACCAAGGCACATGCAAAAATGAAAATTTTAGGAACAACACTAATTTGAAAATTATGCAGAAAAGTATGAAATTTTTCTGATGTGGAATAACATAAAAATGAGATCATTTATAGACTTGGCCCCATGAATGGTAAGTCCGTCCATAAATAAGTCGTTTACTTAATACTATAATGGGAATAACCATTGGAGTTTCAATAGGTTCAGAAGCTAAAAAGTAAGCTGGAGAAAGCAAATAATTAGGAAATAAAAGCAAAACGTGGACACTTCTAATGGGCCAATTTTTGCTCCACTCAATCCGACATTCGTGTACGCAGATCGTATCTGTACACAAGTTCAATGCTAGATGTATAATTTTAATCCTTGATTTGCACCTCCCATGGCTGCGCATTTAGAAAGAGCATCTATATTACATATGATTACATCATTTCAAATTACAATTATGTATAAAGTAGTCATTACTTTCGTAAATTTTCCATGTGGGACAAACTTAAATATAGTTTTCCCTTCAACATAAACCATATTCCAATGATCCACTTTGAACTCCAAATTCTTATTCATCCATTTATCATTTTTTACAAGTATATAATTTCATTGTGTTTAAGGAGGAGAATGCGGATCAACTTTGATTTTTCAAATTGAACCAATGGGTCCCACCTAAAATTATGTCAAAATTAGCTCTAACAATCTTCCACATAAATGAAAATTGGGAGTAATACGGAAAACGGGGAGAATAAAGACTTGGTAATATAGTTCAATAGTTGAAACTTGCATAGAATTGGTAGGAGTTACCCTTTGATACCTTCCCTTGTGAATGTATATTTGCTTTACTAGCTAACCGATGGACACGATGTCCTTGAACTATTCTTCATTTTATGTAAATGATGATATATATCATCCATACTTTTTCCTAACACAATTCAATTCTCATTATTATTTTTGTTTATGGCCACAAACATATACTTGGTTCTACGAGAATTTCTAAGAATTAATCCCCACACAATTTCCTTAGAAGTGGCTCAACTTCTCTCTCATATAGACGATTCCTTATTGCAAGTAACTTACGTTACTTCGCTTGATTTTTTTATGCACAAGAATTATTAAAAGTCTATTACTTATCCTTCATCCTTATAGACATTAATGTTACATCAGATGAATGAACTAGATATGATATTCCCAAAGTGATTTCGTCAAGTCTTTATAATTAGGTTGTCTCTTTGAACCTAAATCTTGGAATTTTTAGTCAACTAGGTTGGATTTCCTTTGTATTTACTCATTTGTTCAAGGGCTTCAATCTGAGATGATTTCTTCACTAACTCTCTATTTAACCATTTTTTAGCAAATTCAAAATATTATCCTTTGACCTTACATAATTAATAGAAACAACTCCAATTAAAGGTAGTTGCCTTATTGTATCATGTCTACGACGTATTTCCAGACTTATCATTGTCCACCTTATTTTTTCCATTCTTATCGCTGATTGACTATCACAATGTATGCAAATTATTGGCACAAAATTTAACCATTTCAGAATAACTTCTAAAAAGTTACGTAACCAGTTAACCTCTTCACTATATTTATCTGGAGCTATAAACTTAGATTCCATGATAGAGTTGGCTAATTGTTTGTTTATAGGATTTCAAGGAAACAACCGCACCTCCCAATGTGAACACATATCCACTAGTGTATTTTGAGTCTTTTATATTAGATATCTAATTGGCATCACTATATCTTTCAATGACTGCTGGATATCTAGTATAATGCAGTCCATAGCTACGAGTGTATTTTAAGTACCTTAGTACTCTTATTATTCCTTTTAGTAGTTAACTCTTGAATTACTTGTTTATATACTCAACTTACAAAGTATGACTATGTGTGATCTTGTACAACTCATGAAGTATATCAGACTTCCAATGCCTAAAGTATTCTCTTTGAGAGTTTTTCCAGAATTTTGTTCACATAATGTGACTGGCTTAGAACGAGTCCATCCGATATTCTTGAAATTTTAATTCCAAGTATAACATTAGCTAAATATATATCTTTCATGTCAAATCTCGAATTTAATATATTTTTAGTAGATTTGATCGACTTATCGTTGCTACCAACAATAAGCATGTTGTTTGCATAAACACATAAAATGATGATACCATTTTTGGTGTTTTTGATACAAATGCATTTATCATTAGTTGATCTTAAATCCACATTCAATCATAACATTGTCAAACTTTTCATGTCACTATTTGGATTCATGTTTCAAGCCATACAATGACTTTATCAATTTATAGCCTTTCGTTCAGTTAGATATTGCAAAGTTGTAATTACATGTATTATTCTAATAGATGTTATTATCGTTACTGTAGAATATATATCAAAGTACTCAATGCCCTTTCGTTGTCTATACCATTTTATCACTAATATGACCTTATACTTCTTGTTATTTCATTTACTTTCACTTTCCTTTTGAAAATTCATTTGTAGTTTAGTGGTTTGCATTCCGGAGGAAGTTCCATTAGTTCTCATGTATGATTTTGTAAAATGGAATTGGTTTCACTTTGATTGCATATTTCCATTGAGATCCTTCTGAAGAATTCACAGTTTCTTGAAAACTTTAAGACTCACTTTTCAACATATATGTTAGATAATCAGGACCATAATATTTTTTACTCATTTCCCTTTTGCTTTGTCTTGGTTCAATCTCAAACTCCTCATCTAATTCTTCGTCCTAACTATTTTCTATCATAATCTCATAAATTTGTTTAGAAGAACTTGATTCCTATTCTGATTTATATGAAAATACATGTTCGAAGAATGAAGCACTTCTCGATTTCATTAGCATATTTTTGTATATATCTGGAATTTTAGACTTATACACAAGAAATCGATAAACATTACTATTATGTGCGTAGTCAACGAAGATGCAATCTATAGTTTTCAAACATATCTTTACCTTCTTTGATGCTAGGATAGCCACTTTAACCTCGTAACCGTAAGTATATATAGGAAAACTTTCTTCATTTCTATAACCATAAGGGGTTTTTTCAATCTTCTTCCGGACACCTTATTTAAAAGATAACTTGTCAATAACACTACTTTACACCACATATTCGGAGGTTACTTAGAACTTACTAACATTGTATTCATCATTTCTTTTAAGATACTATTTTTTTATTCAACAACACCATTTTGCTGAGGTGAATAAGGTGTCGTTGTTTCATGTATGATTTCGTATTGTGCATAGTATTCAATGCATGGTGTTTTATACTCACCACCTTGACCTCCTCTTAATACCTTAATTTTTTTATTAAGTTAACTTTCAACTTTATTCTTATAGAGAACAAATTTCTCTATAACTTCATCCTAACTTATACGTAGATACACATAATAGTATTTATGCTATCATCAACAAAAGAATGAATTATGTGCTGTCATCTCTTGTTTTTACATATTTTAAATCACATATATCATATTAAATTAAATTAATTTGAATGATGACTTTAACAATTTTGCATCGACACAAGTTTCCCACTTACGTTTAGAATCAATATGGAACACGGGTACACAATTCAAGTTAACTAATCTATGTAAAGCATAATAATTAACATGTCATAGTTTACCATGCCACAAATTAGAAGACTCAAGCAAGTAAGCGGAAGAATTAACATTATTAATTTTCGACTTTACAACCATTATATTTAACTTGCACATACCTTCGGAAACATAATATTTTTTGACAAACACTTCACTTTTCGACAAAATAATTTTGTCTAACTCAAATACAATACAAAAATCATGCTTGCAGATTTTCGGCACATACAACACATTGTAAATAATCAGCTATTTTCTCGAAGTCATCTGCAAAATATACCTTTCCCTGACTCTTGATTTCAGAAGTTACTTAGTTTCTCATAAACAACTTTTCTCCATTTTAGATTGCTTCGAACACAATAAATAACTCTTTATAAGAGTACACACGCCTCATAGCTCCGGTGTCAATCCCCAATTCTTTTGGGTTTGAACCCACCATATTCATTTAAAAAATGATGATTCTAAGATTCATCTTTGACATATTATGTATCATGTAGTGAACCACATGTCTTTCTTTCTTATTCTTTGGCAATTTGCAAGTCGAAGACTTATGACCCACTTTATCAAAGCTAAAGCATTTTTTTGAAATTTCTTTTTGGAAATTCCACCCTTCGGTCCCAGTTTTGCCCGTTTGCCAACTGATAATGTAGCATGATTCTAAATGCAAATCATAGGGGAAGAATGTGGAGAAAGCAACCAAACAATAAATTGCCCATTAAGGCGATGTTTGGTTGGTAGCATTGTTAAAATTAAATATTAGAATCAATAAATTTTAAGTTTTTTTTTACCTTCATTAATCTTGTTTATCAATGTCCAAACTAGCATACCAAACGTCCTAAATGAACGGCCTCTTTAAAATCCATGCGATGTTCACTACGAATTAAATTGTAATGGATTAAA